ATGGGAAATCAAATTGGAGAAACCAAGATTTTTGTATTTGTGATTTATTCTGCCAATAGCTATAATGAATACCACCTTTGGAGATTCTGAGCAACATTAGTCATGAATCTTTAGTTTTGTTCTTCTCCAGCCACATGGCAGGAATTCAGAAGGGTGGAGTCCCCTTCCCTCTGGAAATATCTGATAAAATTCTACCCATTCCCTCCTCCAGATGCTTTTTCCTTTTCCACATGGGCCTAGACAGGATATGGGTGTGGGCTTTACACTCACAAATGACACAAAGAAAAGACTGAGGAGAATGTGAGAAGGAGAGACGTTGACAACTTAAAACATTACAACACCTGGTTAAGCCAACTCCTTGCTCATTTACTCTACTCAAATGTAATAGCTGAAGTGCCTACAACATCAATGTTTTATTTTTTAAAATGGATTGCATATGATGTGAACATTTGAGTTTTGCCATCTTTCAAACTTCAAAAATCAGTTTTAAAACCTCACACCACAGTTCATTATATAATATTAGGATATTATTGCTGAACATTCTATTTCATTTCAGCTCAAGTAATTTAACCTTAAAATGTCATTAGGATTTGAATTAAATCAGATATAATCCTTATTATAATCTATCCTTTTCCAAGTTTCCTACACCAATCCAGGTTGTATATATTGGAAATAAAATGAACATAAAAGTGCTAAAATTAAATTTAGCATTGCTACGGTATAATTTCTGGGGATTTCAGATTCAGATTATTCCCATTCTATTAGTCCTCTTGAAAACATTTTGAAATATCTTTTTACTAATATTACTAATTCATATTAAGTATTGTTTATGAAGCCCAAAATAATCTCATAAGAATATCATACCCCCCTGTAAATAGTTATCTTCAATATTAATATATTTTCTAAATAATTTAATTTACAGTACTTGCTCTGAGTGCAATATTCTCATTCCAAAGAGCTGTCCCCAGATATAAAAATTTTTGCTATCAATTTGTATCATTGACCAATAGAAAATCTGGGCTAAATGAAGTTCAGTTCAATCTTCAAAAACTAGTATTTTTGTCTGTGATACTATCATACAACACTCTATGCTCACAGTTTTCTTTTTGTTTTGTTACCATTATTCCTGTTTAAGAGGATTTGTTTGTTATATTAAAGCATTCTTTTTGAATGCAATATTTGGCAAATGTATTAATTACTAGGTAGTGATTATTGGGCTTACAGGCACTTTCAGCTCCCTGGCAAAGATAAAACATAATACATTGGATGCATATGTTTGGTTTCCTCCTTTAGATTTTTACAATGCAAATAAAAAAATTAGAAAGTTAACATATCATATGTGAAGTAACTATTAAAGAAATATATACACATCAATATGATATTTTAGCAATATATTACATAAGGGCATCACAGTTTACAATAACAGCTTTGAGATTCCCTAAATTAAAATGGTTTTACAGTATATGCTGTCTTGATGAAAAGGGAAGCTGTGTGCCTATATAGATCTTTGCCAGTGTGAAGTGATAATCTTATAGTTTTATAACAGTAGTCTCCTAGATCTTTGTGGATACAAAGCAAAGTGTCATTTGATGACGATGAAAAAACAAAGAAGCAGGAGAAACAAATGACTTAAATAAATTCCAACACATAAGTTACCTCCTTTCTATGAAGAAACATTAAAAAATTATACAGATTTTTCTGTTTGCTGTGGAAAACAAGGAAAAAGAAAAATGTGCACTGATAAACATTTGTCTTGTTAGATGAGCAAAACAAGCAAATAAATAAAAAAGTTAAAGTTGATTAAGTTAATTTTTGATTAAATATTTTTGATTAAATAATTGGGGAACACTTTCCCAATGCACAATTTTCTTTTGCCATTTAGATTTAACCTAGCAAATTGGCAATGTGATCATGGTCAAGACAATTGAGTCTGAAATCTGATAAGGAAAAGTTAAAATGAAACATTAAATGACTGTGACTGTTAAATGTTTATCTTTTCAGCCACATGTAAATTAGATTATGTTTATTTTCTAAAGTTGCTTCAGCAGGTCAGGTCTCTTTAGCTCTTTAACTCTTCAACTTTTTAACTCTTCTTGATTATGGATTCTATAAGATTATCAAAAGAAAATACATTCCCACATTCCAGTTGCTATGTGTTATTTGTACACTTGTGTATTTAAATCATTCAGGTTTTTCAGTAAGAACAGACACTTTTTTAAAAAAAGAAAAAGAAAGAATGGGTACAACCAAATCTTTCTGAGAAATTGTCCTCTGGATTTTTCATTTTGCTTAGTGATCTTTCTCTTCTGATTTTTCTTAAGAAATGAGAATCTTAAGCTTCTAGTAAACTCCAAGGAATAGTGCCATGGCAATTTAAATAAAGCCTCCAAGTCAATTACTTATTTTGCTTTTTGCTACATTCATGGAATTTAATGAAGAGATTTGGCTTACTCCTAACTCTAATAAAATACTGAATTTACATGCTATTGATAATAGTATTATTAAGATAGTGGGAAAGAATTCAAGAATCCATAAATGCACAATCGTCTCCTTAAAATGACTGCCAAGTATAAACAAATTCCAAAACCCAAACTTCTCATGCATCTCCGAAATGGTAAACAGTCACCACCATTTTTTGGAAGCCTTTGCTTTCTTGGACCCAATTCAGTGCTCAGTTACATGACCAATGGCCTTGGATAAATTTTCTTTCAAGATGCATCTCAATCTTTCAGTAGAACATGAATAAAAATTATGAGGCAGATTGAAATATATATCCATATAGTCATTTTGCTGCATATTGGCTACATATTGCAAAACCAATTCTGTGTTTTTCTAATTTCTGATTAAGCGCCTGTCTATAGATTGAAACCTGTACTTGGACAACTGGGAAGTTGCTCTTCCAGTAACATGAAAACTTTCAAAACTGTTAATAAAGTATTTAAAGATACTGCCTAGAAATAAACACACACACACACACACACACCATGATTACCATGATTATCTGAAAATTAATTAGAGGCAGTTTTCACATGTGATAACTAAAAAAGGATTCAAGTTATTATTTGAATGTCATGTTCAGATATCCCAAAGGATTCAAGTTATAATTTGAATGTCACGTTCAGATATCACATCCTTCCCAGGCATGATCAGATTTTTATAGTTGCAAATCAGGGCACAAAGTGGTCAAAATAATACAGTCTACTTGTCCCGGGGTTATTTACGGGCCAGATATTGTCCTTACCACCTCCACTAAGTTATGAATATCAACTAAGAGCTGATTATCTACATCCACTAAAACAGCAATGCATAGCTGTATTTTTTTTATAAAGAATTTTATTTACACAATGTCTGCTACTGCAGAAAGAACTTGTAAGTTCTTTATATGATAGATAATATTGTTCTACCAATATAAAATGCATTCTATTTTATGTAATAATAGGCATTTGTCTCCAGAAACATTGTGGATAGTTATTAGGGAATGTGAACAACATGCAAGTTCCCAGCAGGTGTCTAATATATATTTCTTGGCATTTAGACAAGCAAACAGAATCAAACATGTCAACTGAAAGCAATTGGGGATCCTTTGGGGATTACTTCAAAATACAATAGATACAAAACATTCAGAAAAAGAACAGTATACCATCTAATGATATGCTAAATAAAAAACAGAGTAAGTTGGCTCCTTTTTTTTTGGGACAGAACATTTCAGTTGGTCTATGGTCCAATCAGTTGTTGACCATTTTCACCTGTGGTTATCATCATGACAACATCTTCACTTACAGCTGAGCTTTATTAACTATTGAAACAAACTGAAAAAAGATAATACAATGGCATATGATCAACTTCCTATTGCTCAGAAAGGAAGGACTTTTTGAATGGCAAAATATCCTCACACATGGTCTAATAAATTGTAAAATGCAGTATAACTGGTGAATATATTCATCTGATAAACTCTGCTTTACTCTTTGCTACTGTTAGTATTGTGGGTGGTTTTGATTGTATTAATGACTGTTTTTCACTAAAAATATTAATTTAAAGAGTCTGGATATTGCAGTACACAACATGTTCAAATAAAAAACCATGTTCTAGCTACATTGTGGGCACAAAGCCAGCTAGGTGACCTTTGTTCACTCACTCACTCACTCACTCACTCACTCACTCACTCACTCACTCACTCGCTATTAGCCCTAGGAAGGAGATAATAGCAAAACACTTCTGAAAAATTTTTGCCAATAAAACTTCAGGGACTTGTCCAGGTGGTAATCAGGAGTCAACACTGACTGGAAGGCAAGCATGCACATATGCACATACAGGCACGCACGCAAACACACAGACAGACATTTATACCAAATATATTTTATCCTGCTGCATTTTTTAAGTATTTTCAGAAAGGTAAAACATTTGCAATTAATAACTGTTTTTGAAACTAAACATAGGACAGTAGGGATTGGGGAGAAGGATACACTTTAAAGAGCAAGCTTAAATAAATACACTAATTAGCAAACCAAATGTACCCATTTAAGATATTAAAACAATAAACTATATAGCATAGACATTTGAGATTACAAGCATAGAATTTATTCTTTTTAAAAAAACTTAACAGTATGTTTGCTTTTACTTATCTACTCTGGGTTAAGAATGAATGATAAAAATACATGCTAGGATAACTAAGCATTCTCTATGATTTGTGGAAAAGCATACAGATGCAAAGCAGTGAATAAAGCGCCTGCATCTGTTATCTGTATGCATTTCATCACAAAGGGAGGGTACACATCTTAACCCTTTCTATCTATAAATCACTAATTTGAAAGATTTTGATTCCATACTGCATTCTTTTACTATTTTTATCTACCTTTCGAACCTCAAAGGGACTGGCATTACATTAAAAGTACACACTTCTATTAATATTTCATAAGCTATGGCATACAGACTCATAATTCCATTCTTTCATTTTTATGCATCAGAGGTTCATAGGCTGTACCTTCTTTTCAAATACTCACCCAACAGGCACAAAACATAGAAGGTTGCCAGGAGGAGTTTCCTTTCCTTCATGATCTTAAAACTCCACACTAGCATCATTCCCAGGACAGAAGCAGTGTCCAGGACTAACAACTGAATGATTCTCAGAGCTCCCCTCAGACTGAGTTTCTCTGCCTTGTTCTGGAGGCTTCAGTGTTTCTTCTTATTAACTAAAGCTTTTTGAGGTCAGTTCATTGTGGGATAGGATTCCCTCCTAAACGATGTGTTTATGGCTCAAGATTGTGAGGTGGAGTTTTCTGAAGTCTGATCTCATAGCTTTATATAGTTCAGAAGAGTCTGTCAACATCATTGTTAAACTTCCCCTCACCCTACAATAGCACATCAGTTAACACTTTCCTGGAAACTTCTTGCTTTTATTATGAATAGAACATAAGCTTTAAAATGTATATATAAGTATGGGAACAAATATTCTGGCTACTTTAACATGAACAGTGCTGGAAAATTTTAAAACCACATATCTTCTATTAAAAATAGGTTTGATTAGTTGCAACATTTAAACAAAAAGAAATCAAGAACTAACTGGTGAAAGGCACTTTTAAAGTAAGATTTTCTCTATGTGAAGAAAAGCAAACAGAATGAAAGATTTAAAATCAATTAGTTTCAAGCAACCCAGGAGAGAACTTTAGCTAGAAGCATACTGAAATTGAAGGACTTGAGAACAGAATGTTATAAACTAAAGCCAGTGGAGGGAGCCTTACTGGGGCAGGTAGCAGTTTCTTATTGAACAGAAGATTCTTAAGAATCTTCATAAGCTTTATTATATGCAAGAAAGGGCACTTAAAACATTTGGCTAACTATTTTCTAAATGCCTCTGGCATAGCAATTTGCATGCAGGTTTACGGAAGTTTCTTAATGTTATGCACAAAGTATATTTAGAAAATGATTACATTTTTACTGGACTATCAGTATGCATTGATCTATGAAGTGTGCTATCAACTGGGCAGATAGTCATCTTAATTTGAAGCTCACATTTAGAATTTTCACAGTATATTGGCATTCTCACAAAACTATTAGTACCACTTTATAAAACCCTAGTGAGACCACACTGGAATACAGCAATACAGTTTTGGTCACCATACTACAAAAAAGATGTTGAGACTTTGGAAAAAGTTCAGAGGAGAACAACTAAAATGATCAAAGACCTGGAGACTAAAACATAAGAAGAACAGCTGCAGGACTTGGGTTTGGCTAGCCTAAAGAAAAGAAAAAATAGGGGTTACATGATAGCAGTATTCCAGTATTTGACGGGCTGCCACAAAGAAGAGGGGGTCAAACTATTCTCTAAAGCACCAGAGGGCAGGACACGAAACAATGGTTAGAAACAGACCAAAAAGAGAAGCAACCTGGAATCAAGGAGAAACTTCCTAATAGTGAGAACTATTAACCAGTGGAACAGCTTGCCTTCAGAAATCATGGACACTCCATCACTGGAGGTTTTTAAGAAGAGACTAGATAGTCACTTGTCTGAAATGGTATAGGTTCTCCTGCTTGATCGGGGGCTGGACTAGAAGACCTCCAAGGTCCCTTCCAGCTCTTATCTTGAGGAGTCTTGCACATTCATAAAGTTTTGCCATGGGGGCAAGAATAGTCACCCCACCAAAAAAAGCAGTCTTTTATCAGACATTTCCTGTCATCTTCTATAGTTCCTTAGGACAGAATCCTCCCAGCTATCACACTTTTTAATATATATATTTCATACCCTTATTCCTACTACTACAGGATTGCTTCAGTGGCCAGATATGTATTTTTGAGTGTCTTACAACAAAATTAATATAGTAGTGGAGTGAAATGGGAACAGACCAATCTACATAGAGAGATGCTGAGCTAGTTAGCCATAATAGTTACTGTGCTTTTTTTATTTACTGAATTAGAGTCACATTAAGGGATCACTGTTTTGATATTATTCCCATTGAATGTCAGATTAGACTCCAAAACACCCGCACAAAGAAGCCATCTTATAATAGGTCAACTGGTCATCTAATGGATGACCTCTCTCAAAAGAGAATGTGCAACCTTGTGTGGGTTTGATACGACAGTAATGCCCAATTTTTGCTTCTCTTTTCTTTCAAGTCAGAATTAAACATTTTAAAATCAAGCTTGATCTGAGTTTTGAGCAGAACAAAGTTTTCAAAATTTGAATGATATGCCGGATAGATGGGATTCCATTATTTCTTGAGGAACTGAGACCCAATGTGGGAAAGGAGAGGGTCAAATAAATATACATTTTTGTAGTTCTGTCCATTTAATTTCATTCTAAGAGTAAACTGGTCCAACACAAATGAGACTTAGGTTCCTTGCATTCTTTTATATATTCACCCAAACACAACATGTTCAAAATATACAAAGTGCTCATTTTTCTTTTCTCCTTGCTTTTAAACTCCAGTTGAGTCTCATTCTCAGCAGTAAACACATAAGCAGTGACTGTAACAAAATGCATGTTTTCTGAGTTCATTTCCACTCCAGAAAGCTTTCAAAATGAATATTATTGAAAGGGGATGTAATATTATATAAGTATTGCAATGTTCCAGTCTTTCAACAGATGCTGAAGAAGAATTGAATAATAAAGAAAAAATGATAATATTTCAAGAAACTATGTCAACAAATCAGCTATCACGTTAAAACTTTTTAATTATATCCATATTTTTCTTAAGAAATCTCACCTGCTTGATTAAAATTTAGGTACTATATTTATGCTAAAATGGGTGATTTTTTCAGTATTGAAAATTTTAATGATCATTTGCACATACCTTCTTTACGTTGAGAACATATTTTGCAAAAATAAAATTCTTCTCCCAAACATTTATATCTGAAATATATATTTCCTTATTTCAGGTATAGAGATAAGAAAGAATTTGGAGGTATTTCTCTTCCTTTTTAATGTAAGTTCAACATACAAATACATTTTTGAAACATATTAAAAGTAATTTTGCATATTCTATTTTTCTGTTTTATGTTGATAAACATTGAGTGGAGTATTTTTAGCCAATTTGGTCCAGTTCTGCTGAACCTTTTTAAAAATTTCATTTTCAGAGATTCCATAGGTTAAAGGAACAGCTCATAATTTCCAGCAACAGGATTGGAAAGGTCATCTTTATACACTTGCTATATGTGCCCCTGCTGGCTGCTTTCTCCTTAGCCATGACTCCTGTGGGTAAATATGATCTGGTGCAGCTTTAGAAAAAGTCTAGGGCAGTTCACAGCTAGACAAGATTCAGGCTAAGAGGCCAGCTGTGGGCCAGCCAATCTGGAGGAGAAGGATGAGCCAAGACAAGAAGTAGTTGTTGCTATTGGAACCTATGGCTTGATCTAATTCAGATAACACTCCTGGATAAAAGCCATTCAGCTAGTCTTTTGTCACTAGATTTAAAAGGTCGATAAATTTAAAAGGTCAAAGCTGGAATGTCCCTATAGAAATGACTAAGGAGGGTCATTGCTCATTCATTCTCTACCCAAAAAAAGTTTCACATGCTGACATTTTGAGAGCTCTGCCAGTGTTAATACCTTGCAAGGAAATGAAATGCAATGTGATGACAAGTTAATGGTGATCTTTTTATGGAAGGAAGAAATACCTAGGATTTTTCTTTTAAAACTATGGATGGCATATGTGAAGATGGTTTTGATTTTCCAGACTTTAAAAAAATGTTTGACATGAAAAAGACATTGATTTTTCTGCACATTTATTGGAGAATATTACTTGGTACTATAAATTTCTGTCAAGTTTTTCATTCTTGCTATAATGGAAATGTAAAATGTTAGACATCCTGGGTCCTGTTGGGTAGAAAATTAAATTTGACTCCAGCTATCATGAAAAAAATTAAAGCTCTGGAGTAATCCTATTTAAAATGGTTGGTAAACTTTCCTTGGAAAATCTGGGTAGAAAATAGGATTAATGCTTTCAATCAAGTAGTGTGTAATGATATCTTTATAATGTTTGAAGGAGTTTAAAAGGAATACTTTATAACTTGTATAAAACAGTCAAAAATACAATTTATGTATCTCTTAAATTTATTGTTTGGCCCTGATACTCTCTTGGCTTCCAACATTTCTAAAGCATTCTGTATGAGAATGCCTTTTCAAAGACCAAACCAATATCGTTCTGCAAAAATTAAAACTCTACCTCAAGAAATATAGACAAGAAATGTACAAAAGATAGTGAGTTGGAATATCTTATGTTGCAAATCAATGACATCAGGTTTTTGTTTTTTTTTAATAGAAAAGTTAGATTTTACATGGTTTCAAAATTAATTTCATACTGGAAAAAATACTGTACTGGATTCAAAAGGTTGGCTCATTAATTTAATTAATTAATTTTAGTTTATCAACTTCCAGCTTTTGAACTAGATTAGTTGATAGGCAAAATTAGACAATATAATTCCCTATTGTATGAGTTTAATTCAGTAATAAAATTTGAATAGTAATGATGTTTATATACAAATATATACTTACTTTTTTACAATGAAGAACATGATGAAATTTTGAAATCTTGGATACTTTATTTTGTTGGGAGCTCAAGTTCCCCCTTCATGGAGAAGTGCGTTTATATCATTGATCCCGAAGGAGGATCAAGATCTCACTGAACCTTGGAATTATAGACCTATATCTCTTTTAAATGTGGACTACAAGATTTTCTCAAAAATTCTGGCAAATAGATTAATGGAGGTAATAAAAAACTTGATTCATTGTGATCAGTCAGGATTTATAACAGGGAGATATATGAAATATAATGTAAGGCAAATTCTTAACTTAATAGAGTATTTAGATAAGAATAATCAGATCCCTGCGGCTTTTATATTTTTAGATGCTGAGAAAGCTTTTGATCAATTAGATTGGAAATTTTTATTTTTATTGATAGAGAAAATGAATTTTGGAGATAAGTTTTTACATGTTATTAAGGCTATATATCAGTAACAGTTTGCTCAAATTATTATAAATGGGGGTCTGACTGAGACTTTTAAAATTGAAAAGGGAACAAGACAAGTATGTCCATTATCTCCATTGTTATTTGTTTTAACAATGGAGATTTTGTTAATTCAGATTAGAAAGTCAACGGCAATTAAGGGAATAAAAGTAAACAGGAATGAGTATAAATTGAGAGCTTTTGCAGATGATTTGGTTTTAACTCTAGCACAACCTACTTAAGTAGTTGGTCACTTGTTGGAAATTATATCTCAGTATGGAAAAGTTTCCGGTTTTAAAATAAATAATAATAAAACTAAAATGTTATCTAAAAATATGTCTA